GCCAGCTAACTACCCTTATCTTCTCTAAAGCTGCTTTGCATTTAAGGAGCTGCAATCAGGCAAAGGGAGACATCACACTGGAGAATGACCAGTCCTGCTGCTGCCCCCTCGAAGTTTCACAGTGTCCTAGACCAAGTGGAATGGAGGAATGAGGCAAATTGCTGAGGCACATCCCCCCAAGCCCCAAGATGTCTATGATACAGCCAAAGTCCCAGCTGCTAAACCAGGTTGTAATATCTCTCCAGATCACCTCCTCCCTTCCAGGTAAAAACCAAAGTAACAGCAGAATAGGTAAAATTCTAAATTGTAAGCACAGAGCTGGTCCAGAATCATATTCATGTTTTCTTCTCAGTTGTATTGGGCTGAGGAAAGAAAAAAGCAGTTTGTTATCCTGCATTTTAAATGACTGAATTAGAACAGTCGATTAGAAGAGAATCAGAACACTGCTTATCTTGCTAAATTCTACATATTCCTTAAGGTGTAAAACACAATGGATATCATTTTAAAGGGTGTCAGGAAATTGTGGATGTAAGACTAGCAATTGCTGAAAGATTTAAAATATAAGGGTGGTGATAGAGCAGTGGCAAAGATTACTGCAAGCTTTTATTTGCCCCAGTTGTAATTAGTTGTGCTCTTGGCCTTTTTTTTAGTTTTATTTTAAATTAAAGGTCTGTATGGAAATTATGATAATGTGAATCTGGAGAGACACTTCAAAGAGAGATCTTGATGACATCAGGGGTCCTCACACTGACGGCAGCATTATGGAACTCACAGGATTTTTAAATTAAGGATATGGCTCAATAATTGCCAGCCCTGTGCGCTTACATATTCTAATTGAGATTTTACATTCTGGCATAAACTAGGAATCCTAAATATAGACAGCATGATCTTTTCTTTGAAACTTGCTACACAAATACATCAATTATGACAATTTAATTGGATGTGCTTTTATTTTATTAAAAAATAGCTGTTTGAAGAGTTCAAGCCAGCCAGTTCAGTGCTGTCAATGGCAAACGCTCAAACATTTCAACTTACTTTTGTTACCTTTAAGGACTGCAATAATTTTCAAGACCCAGCCAGAAGAAATAACCTAAGTGATTACTCAGCTTAAATACTAATATTTTGTGTATAGCTGTCCAATGATTTACTATTTCATTATTCCATTAATGGAATCAGCTAATAAAACGTGAATGCAAAGTCCAAGTGCTTTGGAGAGTCACCAAAATCCCATGGTGGCATTATTTTCCAAAATAAAGTTTCCCACAAAGTATTTGGGCAACTTAAAGCATACAAGGAGTTCTACTGAAGGAAAGGGGAAGGTTTGAAGATAAACACATGCCCATGCTTAAATATTCTTCTATTTTCACTTTTAAGAGTCATCTGCTAATTGTCTTTACAAACTATAACCCTTTCCAAATTTAAATAAACTTTCAGAGAACCATTTTGCATTTCTTGTGAATTTAAAAGCATTTCCTACTTTAAACGAGGACCTAGAAAATGGAATCTGGAAAGGATTTTGAAGGTATTCTCATTTTTAGATTTACATTTGGTCACTTGTATTATGCTTTATGTCATAAAACACAGAGCTAAAAATCTTTCTGGCAACGGCACAGAACTAGGGCTGAAGGGATCTCAAAATGTCACCTGCAACAATTTTCCTCAACATTTTTAAACCTTAAGCTGCCCTAAGCCTTTCTGAAAAAAAATATCAGAAGCTGTTTTGAGCTGTGTCATCACAATCCATTTCTGGCCCACCCAAAATCAGGTCTGCAATTCTTCCCCCCTCACTTTCCTTCTCGCTGCTGCTTTTTGTTCAGCTGATATTTCTTGCAACTGCTTCTGATGTCCTGTAGTTCACTGACTGAGATGCCACAGTCTCTCCAGCCAGACTATCATAGAGCTTTAACTACCTCCAATTTTGGAAAAAGTGTTCCTAAAGCCAGCTTAAACCCTACAGCAATATAAACCTGCTATTTTTTGTCCTAATTAAATCACCAAAACATCATTCCCTTCTCCCTGCGACAAACTTTTTAATGCATTAAAGGCTCATTAATGACTCTCCTTAGTCTCTTCTATAGGCTTCACAACCTCACTCCCTTTCATACATCCTCACTAGACATGTTTTCTAAACCTCCAGTCATTTCTGCTGCCCTCCTTTGAAGTCTTTCCAACTGTTCACAGTCTTCGTAAACTCTAGAGCCAAAACCTTGGACTTCAGCAAGGCTGAGAAGAGCAGGAGTGGTTTTCTCTTTGTTTTTCTTTCTCATCTCTTCTTTGAGGCTGTTTCTGTCTGTACCCATCCCAGTACAACGCCTGCATCTTTCACCCAATATGACATTGTTAACCCCTGGTCCTTTCCCATGGAACTGGCACCCAGCTAGTCCTTTCTGGTCTTGAATTTGCACAACTGTTCATGTTTTTTACTGATCTCTTTAGACTGTGGACCTTCTCTTTTGGTTGTGAACTACTTTCAATGTCCTGTTTCCCAACCATCTGATATCCACTTCATCTAGATTAGAAAGTTACTGCATCACACAATCAGCAATAATACCAAGAGTCAAGACTATACAGGTTCTTATTAAGATTCCAAATTAAAATTCCTAAGAGTTAATAAACACCAATTTTATACTGTTTTTCACCCTAGGTGCACCAGTTAAACGGCTGGAAACTGCAACTCCTAGGTCTGGAGGGAGACAAGAACTCCTCTGAATCACACACTTGGAAAAATAAGAGGCTGGAACTGCACAGAAATGAAAACCAAGAGGCCTCATGGTCTCCCATGAAACTGGAGGAACACAAACTGACACCAGCTAAGAAGAAGAGGAGCAATAAACATTGGCAAGCAAAAATAAATGCTCATTTAAACCATCAATATTCAATAAGAATAAATGCCAATTTCTACAAGTCTATATATCAATCTACTGCTTCTCTCTTAGCCACAAGGCCTGTCAGAGAAGAAAATTAGATTGTTTTGACATAATCTGGTCTTGATAAATCTATGTTGGCTGTTACAATTGGCATGTACAATTTGAGATGTCAAAAGATTTGTGTCATTGCAAAGGGAGGGCAAATAATTGAAGCTCTGATGGGCCTAACAAGAGAGTGTCATAATGAAGAAATTACTCAAAGGAACTTGGTTCAGCAATGCAAGCAGTCAAAAAAAATACAGCTAAGACTTAACTTGCTGAAAGAAAATTACTTCTACTCTAAATTTATGCATACTCTATGGAGGAAAGCCTGAGCTAAATGTATATAACAATACAAATCTCAGGAAAAACTCCTTTCCTTTTAACATTGCTCTTCTTGTTTAGTAAACTTGGTGACTGGCAGTAGGTTCTCATCCAAATATGCACACATACAAAATTACAGATACATCTCACTCCCCCAGTGACTTTATAACATGTTGCTAGGTAACAGTACATACAAGTCAGGCTTCAAGACCTTTAGTAAGTCACCATAAAATAACTGCTTGGGCCTTTTGCATGAAAAATGTACATTTATGTCCTCCTCCTGATGTCAATAGATCAGATATTGAAAATATAACCATCTGAGAAACCATAAACAGCTCCCCATTAACTTCTACATGAAAACCAACAGATGAAAATGTTGTATGTTTTCTCAGCTTCCAGGCTTCCCCTCCCCTCCTGCTTTCTGCCCTCATTCTTGAGAGCAGCCTCATTCCAGAGCACTACCATCCACAGGTCAGCACCACTGCTGTGTTGAGCCACTAGGTGCACAGCAACCCAAATTTAAGGTAGACATCAGAATGACAACCTACATGGGACAGCTTTCAGACAACATAAAAAATGGATTTCATAGAGAGTCCAAATTTGAAACTCAATATATGAGTAATAAAATGCACGAGCAAATCAAACCAGACTCATTCTCACTCATTTTTTTGCTGATCATAATAATTATATCAATGGATTACTTCTTGTTTTAAAGAGGATGTTTCTGTGGCTTCTTCCAACCCACACAACAAACCCTTTGTGTCAGCCCATTTCACCTCCTGCTGTGGTTTCACCAAAGCAATGGCATTAGGACAGAGCTAACTCCTTAGTTTACCTGACAATAAAACCTGCTAAAAGGCAATTTACATTCCATTTAAAAGGAAAAAAGGGACCAATAATTCTCTATTGAAAAGGGTATCTTCTAGCTCAAAAGTCTAAATCTTGCCACAGGGACTGTGGTGTCCTCGTAAAACAGAAATTTCTTCAGTGACATCTTTCCTGACTTCTTTCTCTTTCAAAATTAAAGGCTATTTTGGAAAACATTTAGCACATCCACCCAGCATGACCACAATTCTGAAACTGGTCAGTCCAATCAATAAGAGTACATAAAATAGAACAGATTCACCCTAAACATCTCTTCCACTTCAGTCTCACATGTGAATATCATTCTTACAGCAATAATCTGTCAGTGAAGGAAAACACAGTAAACACATGCTTTGCATTAGGTAGGGATTTCAATTATAATAGTAAAGAAAATTAAAAGCTGTTAATGAACCTCTAGGGCTACCCTTTTCAAAGTGTTAATCATCAAGAAATGCAGTAACATTGCTACTTCACACCTATGTACAAGTCAGGCTCCAAATGCTGCCCTGAAAAGGAGGTGACCAATACTCTATGGGTCCTACTTAGAAAACTTCAGAGCTCAATTTTCTCATGGGCTGGGCACTTGTGACCCTCACCAATTTCAAACCAGAGCTACAGATACTCAGCACGCTTGAAAAACAACACCAGATGAGATTTGCCAAGGTAACTGTCAAGGAACATGAGAAGCTGGATAAAAAGTCCTCACTTCCAACCCCAAACAGCAAAATCCCCCTCTTCCCTCACCACTCCCTCTCTTCCCTCCGTTAGGCACCTTTCCTTATCAAAAGAAACAAGAAATTACAAGTTGAGTTGCCACACTTTCCTCCCTGCAATTCCATGACTCAACCAACCCAAGGCCAAGTGTTTCTCAGCCCACCAAGGAGCTGCCACTTGCTGCTCAATTACCTGACAGCTTCATCAGAAAATCTGAGGCCATCTTGACAGAGATGTCTTGGCTGAACAGCGCCGACGCCGTGGTGGCCACAAAGTCAGAGGAGTCTTTCAGCTTTGTGTTGTTGGGGGCTCTGTCAACAGTGCTAAGAGCAAAAGGTGCAGCTGAGATGCTATTGTCATCTTTGGGCTCTTCTTTCACTAGTAAAGGTGGAATACCTCCACCAGGCTGCCCAGCCACGTCGGGGGTTTTAGACACAGATGCTGATCCCGCAAGGTCAGGTCCACCTCCTTCCCTCTGTGGTCCCAGGCAGGAGTCACTATTTAGCTGTGGTGACCCCTTCACCTCAGATTCTGGTATTTCCTCCTTCACTTTGGACTCTGTCCTGAGGAAATGTTGATGGCAACGCATATGGAGTTTCAGGCTGAAGTGGCGGGAGGAGGTAAAAGGGCATAGCTGGCATTGGAAGGTCTCACCCCTGTCTTGGTGCTGATGAACCTGGTTCAAGAGGTGAAAGATAAAAGCAGGTATTAAGCAAAACGCTTGGCTAGCATTACAGAAAGCTTAACTCTGCACTTCTCACACCATTTGAAAACAAATAAGTGGACTAATGAGTGAGCTCTGCCTTCTGAGCACTTGGAGAGAGGTCAGGCACCCAGAACAGTAGGATTCTTTCACACATAAGGCAAAGAACATAAACATCAGACTGGGCTGAAAAAAAAGTATCAGGAACATCTGTTTCTGCAGCATGTAAATGATGAAGTCTGCTTTGGATCAAACAGTCCTCACAACTAGATCCTGATGAACTGTCAGTGCAGAAAAAAGACTTCCAAGCTTAACTAGTTACATTTTCTTGATTAAAAAACAATCAACCCAACCAACCCATACCTATTACATGACCTGCTAAGCATGATCAGCCTGTTCAACCTCATAAATAAGTTTTTCAGAGGAACCCAGCAAAACAATAACCTGCATATCAGTGTCCACCATCGATTGACACGTCATCAACCCACAGCACCTGCCAATACAAAGGCACTCTTGAAAGAGTTGGTGGCAAATTCATTCTACCAGGGAATAAACAGCCCTGTTATGCTAAAATACAAACATGAGAGATGGTGTTTGCCATTTGTTCTATTTCATCAGTTGACTAAAGATCACAGTTAATCTTCCTGGCCTCATATTTTTACTGCAGGCTCTTTCTCATAGAGACTACATGCTCCAGGAGGACTGGAACATCTAATGTCCTCAGGCCTGATCTTGATTACCTTTTAAAAAGAACTCTCTCCATCCATCTGTATGTTGACATTTTGGTTCACATGTTAGTTGAACAGACACACTCATTAATATAAACTATAGATGTATAATTATACAATTTCTTGTTTAACACAGGACTTAGGAAAGGGAAGGAAGAATTGAGCCCAGCACCACAGTGACAAGTATATTGAAAAGTTTTTCCCCTGAAGCTTCACCAATGGATTATAAATTCTGACAGTGGCACTCCAGGCTACTTGCTGCAGAAAGATTGGCAAATACATACATTTCCTCCTCACTAATTGATGAATGTGTGATCAGGACAAGCTGGCACTGAGCTCCACACGTTTGTTTTCACTTATGACTTGGGTTGGTTGGAAACATCTCAGTGAGACAGATTTTTTGTTGGAAAACGGCAATTTGTTGACTGCAAAATATTTCACCTAAAATATGGAAAGGTTTGGGGAACTCTTGGCAAACAAGGCATGATTCCTCCACCCTACTGGGTGGCACTCTACCCATGGCTCCCTGGGCTTGGCTCAGAAGCAGGCAGATGTGCCAAGGATCCAAGGCTTGCTGCTATAGCCCTGGAGTCCAAAAGCCCTGAAAACTCCAGCTCTAATCAAAACTCAGCTCTAGAAAAACTACCTTTAGCTAAGCTCTCAGCATCCCCTACAGAGCTGAGATCTAGATCCCAAGAGTCCTGGTGAGTCCTGCAGAGCTCTGGGATAACAGCAGCATTTCCCAAACACAGCTCTATCCAAATTCAGGTTGAAGTTTCCCATGGTTGTAGACTGGGCCTGATTAATTTTCTATAGAGTAAAAGGAATTGAGTCACAAGCTCATATCCAGCAATTCCCAGCTCTACACACACAGGACCTGAATTCAGGTCTGCTAAAATGTGAAGCTGACAGACCCTTTGCATTTGGTGAAGACACATTTCATTAGTGCTGTGTAACTTTTCATTCAGTAGTTCTGCAGGGGCACCAGAGATTAGGTACTAAACAAACAGATAGCAAGAGAGAATTTCTCTCATCCAGCAGCTTTACAGAATGACCTTCTCAGTATCATATAAACCTGACATTTACAGACAAAGTAATTCTGGAATATTATAATTGCACCTAACAACAACAACAAGAATTAGAAGCTAGTGCTAACCTATGACACTTTTAAAGCAACAAAGAAGAGCAGCACATGAAATACTAAATATTAACAGGTTACAATGGAAAAGCCAACCAATTTGTCTGCCTGCACTGCTGGAAACAGGATGGGGTGTGAGCACAGCAGCATGGGAGCACTCTTCTTCATGGAGAGCATGGGGAGGTTCCAATGGTAGCAAGTACTTTCACCATGGCAACTTTATCTCTTCCACCCACAGGGATTTTTTCATGCCAGGGTTTCTCTCCAGGATCCCCTGCAATCAACATTTTCCTGCCTAAGTGTTTAACCACTCCTTCTAGAGTCCCCTTATCACAATCATCACATAATTCTTGACAGGATGCCTTCTGAAGGTTGGCACTGCTGCACTCAGGTGGCACAGTCTGTGTGGGAGCCCATCTTCTCTGCTTGGAGTATGGCTTGCCACCCCTGCAATCTCTTTTGAGAGTGGATGAGAGCAGGGGGGATTGATTCATCTGATTTGGGATTCTTCTCCTGCCCAAAGACAACAGCAGCATCGCCAGTGGATTTCTCATGAAATAAAGGAGGTTTATAACTTGCAGCCAAGGAAAGGTAGAATTCAAACTCAAATATTTTGAGTTTTGAAAGGAAGAATTCTAGATCTATGAAAAGCCATATGAAACAACAGCAAGCCAAATATTTAGCCCCCCTCTCTCCTGGGTCCAGTCCTGACATAAGATCTTCCTTTTTAATTCTCAAAAATAAATAGTAGCATTTATTTAAAAATCTGAACACTATCAGAATTTAAGCAAGTCCCTTCAAAACAAAAACTACCCCTCATTTTCTCATTTGACAGCAGTGAGAAGAGCCAAGAATTGCCATTCTATGCTGTTCAGAGGGAAAAGTCCAGGCAGCAACTACTTGCTGCATAATGAGAAACAAGAAACCCTGTTGAGCTACACAGAAAGCCACAGGGGAGACCCAGGGCATGCAATGTTACAGTCCAAAAAGCTGCCTGCTCCCTCCATGAGACAGAGGATGGCTCTTACCCTGTGCTAACGTTGCCCAAGCCATCAGATGTCCTCTTTAGACTCAACCAGGCTGTTCCTGCAAGGACCAGTGGCAGGAGGAGAGCACGGTGCACAACCTGCTCCTAGAGAACAGTTCTTCCAAAACTCCATAAAACTACTGCTTGGCTTTTGTCAGAAACATTTAAGGACTCCTGAATTTATGTCATTTAACTGTGGCTATTCTCCTTGACAGTGTAAAGTACTTGTATCATCTTTGTTTCAAACCTGCAGTCTTCCCACTCTCAGCATTTCATGGTTTCACAGTTTTTTCAGTGTGTGATTGATGAGACTTACACAATAATTTTCAATTATAAGCTCCTTGCAAACTTTAGGCCTGGCTTGAGGAGTCTGGTACAAATTATCTCTTGGTCAAATGTCTTTGTTTGTTTGTTTTAAATTTGTTTCTTGCAGTTTCTTTTCCTGCCTCTTCATCCTCACATCACCAGAAAGAAAAAAAGAGGCTGCTCAATTTATCACATACATTATTTTGATCACACCTCTTTTCTATAATAGGAAATCCCATTTTTTCAGCTTTTTTTTCTTCAAAGGCACTTCTTGGCATCCCACTAATCATCTTCATTGCCAGCCTTTAAAACCCCTTCTATTTCTGCCACATCTTTTTGATGCAGTGACCATAAGTGAATGCCATAACTGGCAGCACACCATATGTTAATAATAGCATTGTAGTATTTCTGGTGTTACTTCTGGTTTATTCTCCAGACACTCAAACATTGAATGTACTTCTTACCCACTGCTGCAGAGGCCAAGAAAAGGTTTTCATTGAACTGTCTATAATGATACCCAGATCTTTTCCATGAGTAGTTACAGTTCATGATATCAGCCAGCCACGATTCCTCTTGTTTCCAAGGTGCAGTACCTTCAATTTCCCAACAATAAATTCATTTACCCCCTTTTGTTTATCTGTCAGCCAGCCTCTTTTTACTCCCTTTCAAGCTGTGCCTTTTGTAATCTTGATTCATGCACATAAGATTGTAACATCTGCAATTCTCCTGCCCACAGTCATCATTTTGTGCAGATCACACTTGCTAAAAGAGGCACAATTCCACTCTTAGTAACAGAACATCCCCCTGTTAGCCTTTTGTCATGCTTAAAGTTGCTAACTCCTTCCTACCCTTTGTTTTACTGTCTCTTGGTGAATTTCTTAATTTGCCATGGTACATCACATCACTTAATTTCTTTGGCAGCTTCTCAGTGAGAAGCTTTGCCAAAGGCTTTTTTAAAGACCAAATATATTTCAGCCGGTTCTTAAGTCCATGATTTCCTGAGATGCTTGAAACATCTCAGTGAAAGAACATGATTTTCTTTCACAGAACCCCCATGTCCCTATCTATCTATCTATCTATCTATCTATCTATCTATCTGTCCTGGTTTGGGGTAGGACAGAACTAACTCTGCTCAGTGGTTTTACTTTTCAGCTGAAGCTCTTCTAACTGACTGCACTGTCTGAATCCCAAGTTCATGAATCAAATTCCAGAATCCAGCTCCTGTTGCTGTCTGTGGCTGAGTCCAGCCTGGGACTGTTCCCCAGGGGCTGCTCCCCAGGATCAGGGGTGATGGGGACCTATTGCCACTGGGGGGGAGTTGAGTTCAGTACTGGTTTTGTAAATATTTGTATATATTCCATTTTACTGGTAGTAGTATTTTCATTAAAGCTGTTTTACTTTTCCAATCCCCAAGTCTCTCTCCCTTTGTCTTCCCCTTTGGAGGGCAGAGGGGTTAAGAGAGAGCATCTGTCACAGGTCTGGGGGCAGCCCTGACCCCAAACCATGACAATATCTTATCACCTCATTCATATCACTGTATTTTTTCTCTTACTTTTTTTTTTGTTGACATACTAACACTTCTGGTATCATAACCAGCTTCTTAAATCATCTTTTCATACTTCAAAGAAACATCCCTGCTGTTTTACCAGCCAGTTTAAGTCAATGGGAAGTACACACTGGCCCATGTGGACTTACCAGTTACAAATACACAGCATCCCACCTAACAGGGTACAGTGGGGGACAAGCAGGGGTGAGGGAAACAGTGACACAGGCATGTCCTGCAGTTCTGTAGCACTGGTGAGAGAAATCTTTCCTTTTCCCCTCCCTTAAAGTTGCAGTAACACTTCACACTGACTGCTCCTTCTGGTTATGAGGCACAGGAAGGGAAGAACTGGCATTCACCTCTCTTTGTGGGGTTTAATAGGCTTTCTTGGTTATTATTTTGTAAACAGAATAAGAGGAAATTTTTTTTCTCTGTGAATTTTCATCCACAAACAAAATCTGAACATAAGGGGGTCAAGGTGCTGAATCCATTCACTGCTATCTCTGCTTTTGGCTACTCACTCTTTACTTATTTCCTATGACCTAATTACCACTTTTATTTCTTTGCCTACTCTAAGTTTTACTTTTCTCACAAACTTTCAAGTGGATTAATATTTCCATGAGGGGCAACTGTTTAAGCAACTACAACAACCAACCATCATTACAACTTGGCCATGTGGCCATCCCTGCCTACCTACTGGTTTTTTCCTTTTGGGTTTTTTGTTTGTTTTGAGGTTTGGAGAGGGGATTTTTTTTTGTTTTTATTTTAAATATCTTTTAGTAAAACACCTTCTTCTGCAACTGCACTTGAGTACACTTGAGAGATGTCTGCTTGGCATGTGCTACGTGCCCTCTGCTTTTCATTTAATGCTCTTTCCTGACAAGTTCTCTCATTTTTAAAATACTGTACTTTCAAAAGTTTAGCCCTATGGTACTAGTTTTACATGGTCCTCCCCCTCAGGACATATATAATATTTCTATACTTTTTTTTTTTAAACTATTTCCATGTTTTTCTTGAAAGCAAAGGGGTTGGGAAAAAAAAAAAGTTAGCTTAAACCAAACTAAACCAAAAACCCTCCCATAAAACACAGTCAACTTCTTTCTCACAATATAGTGAAGCCACTTTAAAATAACCTGTCCTGTATTTCACCAACATGGATTAGGAATCCTTCTTCAGCTGCCCAACCCTAGCTGAGGAAGCAAGAGGGAAGAGCCAGTCACTAAGGGGTACTGAGCACCTGGCTGCATTTTCAGGGCCTGATTCCCACCATCAGTTAATTAGTAGCCTCTCCCTAATCAGGGGGTTGGTTATAACCTATTGCACAGGAACGTCACCCTGAGATCTCACTCGATGGTCCCTCTTCAGAAGCAAAAGCAGCAGGAAGATCCTGTGGTCAAGCCTCAAATCACCTGCCTGCCATGGCCTCAAACTTTTTGGTGAAGCTTTTATCTTTCCTTGCCTCATTTTCTGTCACACCACCACGCTTCAGCAGACCTTCACAATGCCAACCTTCTTCCCCACTGCTAGAAGAGCTGGCTCACCCATTTCTGCCTGACATCTACAGAGCAGCACAAGGAACATTTAGAGATATTATTTTTGGCCATATGCTCCTCTTCCTCACTCCCCCTTCCAAGTGCTCAGGCTAATATCCTGTTGCTTTCTTGGAACATTTCTGTATGATCTCACAGCCTATCCCTCCACCAATTGCAGAGGAAGGGAAGTGCATGATCCAAAGACACCAACTGGCCCAAGCCCGACCACTCCTTGTGGTATTGCTCTGAGGTAAATTTAATCCCTGCTTCCCTACCAGGAGAGCCAGAAAAGCCTGGAGACATCTTGCTGAATTCCACCACACCTTTCCATTGCTTTCTGCAGGACTACATACACAAGATATTCTCTCAAGAAGAAAAACCACATATTCTAAATGAATATATGCTTAGATAAACAGAAGGAAGGAGACAAGCACAACCCTTGCTGCCTGCCTGGACAAGACACCTCTCTCAGTTCTCCATTCCTTTTGTCCACCTTCATTTTCAGTGTTTTCAGCACCATTTTCAGCACCCCTGGAAACCATGATATGACACCAGAATCAAGTCCTGAGAAGCTACCACAAGGTTCCTGGGAATAAGAGCCAAAACTTGTGGTTATGCACGCACTATAGTTTGTCTCCAAAACAAACTAATAAAACTCTGTCCTGTGACTATTTTAGGATTTTTCTAAGGTGCCTACCACTGTGGAATCTAATGCAATATAACAATTACAGAAAACACTGTGTGCCTTAAAATGCAGTCTCCTCATCCTCCCTTGTTCACTGTGAGCCTGAAACTTTCCTTCTGCTTCCCTTCTTGCCTTTCACTTCCTCACCCCCAGTTGTGAGTTGGTCCTGGCAAAGTGCCCTCACTGGAAGAATGCTTCACCAGCATGGTGGGTGGCACATGGAGATCTGGATATGGGTCAGGGCTGGAAGCAACCAAAATCTCTTAGTAAGATTTTTCTCTAGCAGGGGACAAGACACCAAAAACGTTGGCGACGTTGTATTCTGGCTCAATCAGTTTGATGTGTTGTAATTAACATAATATTGCACAGTATTTATATTATATAGTTATTATTTGTTATCTAAAGACAAAAAAGAAGGCCCATATGGACACATGCAAACAACTCATGGAAAGTAAACCTCTGAATAGGCAGTTTCAATGGAAAAGGCCAACAACAACCCAAGGCAAAGAGAAACAACTCATGGCTCTGCTGCCTAGGAGGAAATAGAGACAACATTATTAGATTTGGGGGACTGCAGCTGGACAAAATACCTCGACAGGTTTTGTCTGTCATCCTTACCAATAGAACCTGAAAACTGAAAAGCACATAAAGGAAACAAGCTTGTGATAGTGTCCTAGAATAAAAATTTGCTTATAATGAATTGCAAACACCAGCCTAGTACCCTAATTTTGAGTAGCCTTTGTGGCTTTGAAAAACATCTTCACCTGTAGCCACATTGACTCACAGGGAGGGAGAGAGGGATGGAGAGCTGAGACAGCTCTACCTTTGTGGGTTGCCTGCCAGGAGTGAGATAAGGGGCCAGGTAGCTCCCAGAGGATCCAAGGACAAGGAAAAGAACTCAAGAAATCCAACTGGCACAGCCAGAACGCTGCATCCTAAGTAGCTCCCCATTGTGCTGCACCTCTCCTGATGTGTATTCATTCCATTTGAGCACTGCTAGCTCATCTACCTGTTAGCTATTACAATCTCATCCTTATTTACATGCAGATTTAAAAGCAGCACTTTTTTTATCATGGGAAATCTCCTATTTTTTTTATTTTTCTTGTTATTAATGTATACTTTCACCAAAAGGAATTCAAATTTTGTCTGACACTGTTGGACACTTGACTAACACACCCCTACCTCATTCACCTGCTTCAGTTTTGAGGTGATAGGAAATATTTTTATGAATAGCCCACTCAGCTGAGAAAAGTGTATGAAAGCCACTGAAATGAAGGTAAAACATTGTCTTTCAGATTCTTGTGCTTGTGATTCTTTACATCTACCTGTAACATGTTCTAGTGTCAAGGCCAAATATAGGCCACCTAGTTTAGTAAGACAATTGCTTCCAACTTAAATAGGGAGAGGTTTCACCAGCAAAGACCTACCAAGTCCATCATGACCTTCATGACTGACTGAGGAGGCTCCAGATCTTATTTCTCCACAGGAAGGCTAAAAGAGGCTGTAATCTACATTGTGCCAAGCAGCTCTGGGCCTGACCCTGACCTCAATGATGTCTAGCTGAGCATCACTTGGCAATAATTAGTATATTACCAAATAATTAACACTATGTGTTACACGTTTGTACAAGGAGTCTGTTTTAAGATGATATGGGGACAGTTAATGAAGGGGTTTATGTTAGGTGGGGAGCAGAAAAGAGCACAAAGGCTTCAGAGAGTCTTCAATTCAACAGCATACAGAGACAGTGAAAAATTATCTGATTTTCTCCAGCATCCTACCTGGGACCACCTAAATCTCCATGCCAAAAAGCAAGGGATAGGCTCTCAGCCTGAAAATAATAACTTCAAAAAGGGGAAAAAAATAAACAAAGCAAGAACAAGAATTTCAGCAGGGAGGAAGAGGGAAGTCCTTTATAAAGCAGGGGACAGCAACAGGTCTTTGCCAGGGACTAGCAAGCTTTTAGATGATGCACACTTCAGTGCAGGCTGCCAACAACTAAACCAAAAAAAAAAACCCCTTTCATATTATGCTGTGTTCCCATTCTTTCCACTCATATCCTACTCTGGATGACCATCTGTGCCCTCCAGTCAACACAGAACCAAGTCCTAAAAGAGTCCCAAAAAAAACACCAAACCTGCTTGTATCTCCTGAGGGTTGGCACGATGCACCACGGATGCCTGGGAGGAGTGCTCTGATTCACAGGAGGAGTATTAAGGGATGAGCCTTCACACTTCAGGGGGATGATTTCAGACCTAGCAAAAACTTTAAATACAGCCAAGTTCTGCCCTTGTGACCAGTGGAATTGTCTCCACTAAACCACATGACCACTAGATGTGGCTTCCTTCAAAAGTTCACCTTCAGCTGGAGCCTGAAATTTAGGCTGAGTTAAAAGTACCCTTTAAACTCAATGGAAACACTTGAACAAAATCATAGAATCATTAAGGTTGGGAAAGACCTCTAAGATCATCAAGTCAACCCAACACCACCACAGGCACTAAACCATGTCCTGAAGTACCACGTCCCTCAATATCACAGTATAACCTGTCACTCATTTTGGTTTGGGGGCTTCACTGCTGAAGTGCCTGCAGTTAAGTAACTACAGCAAGAAAAATTTCAACTCCAGAAAGCCAGGAGAGGTTCCCTGCTAGTGCTGGCCAAGCTGGTACAGCCACAGAGTGTGATGCAACTGCATGCAGAGTCAGCAAACACGTCCCTTACCTTCATGTGGGATTTGAGATTGTCCTTGCGTGCACAGCGAAATGGGCAGAGAGGACACTGATGACTTTTCAAACCTGTGTGAATCACCATGTGCCTTTTCCAGTAACTCTTCCTCTTGATAACCAAACCACAGATAGGACACTGGAAAGGTTTTCCTCCTTCTTCTTCCGAGGCTTAGTAGAAGGGGGAAGAAAAAGAGAGGATCCTTTACAGCCACTTGTGGAGTACTTTCCCCTTGTAAACAAACTCAAGATACCATTTTTCAATGCTAGAATTTAATCTGCAAAGAGACACATCAGTTAAACAACAACACGTACCAGAAACTTCAGTCCCACCCCCCACCTCTGCATAACCCTTTTTCCCCTTAATCTAGTTATTCTCCCTCTAAGAAAGGTCACCATAATTTATAAAGGTTAATGTTCCAAACATCCTTTGGCTAATCAGGAGGGGATGCTACTCCATCTCACCTGGCCTTAATGTTCCTTCTAATTTAACTGAGCTGAGATGGATGTCTCTCATAATCACCACTTTGCAGCTTCATTTCCTATCAAAGGCCGGTTGTGGTAGGGTATAAAAAATATGTTTCACTGGTAAAAAATGATCCATTTCCATAGCTGATGGTGAGCCAGCCAGGGGAGGGGGGTATAAAGCATAGAACAATACACAACTGAAGTGAAAAGCATCCTGGTGGGGCACAGCAGATGTATTTAACTCCAGAAGTGAACCTGAATTCAGAACTCATTTATGGCTGAAGGAGATGCTGCTGCAACTTCATCATGGGTCTTCAGGTCATGGGTTTCCCTCTGTTCCTCTAGTTGCCAGGGCTTTAAATCTGCTGCTTTCCTAAATGTTTGCACTCTGCTTTACTGCCCAATTCATCTAAGATAAGGAAAGGATTTGGTGGCATTTATCAGGCAAACATGATTGGTCTACTGAGCGTGGAACCATCACAAGGCTGAAGGAAAGAGAAATTCCTTGCTGCTGACTTTACACCACTAACCATCCATTCCTCCTTTCACCATGATTTCCTCTGGTTATGATAAAGAAAGGCCCAGGATTAGCATGGAATTGGAAGCCTTCTTCCTCACTATTTTCAAACATCCAGAGCTCAGCAACGTGCATCCTCCTGTTTGGAATTTCCCTCAGAATATTTAATCTCCTCATTTTCAGTTATTTCGTACTGATAAGGATACAGCAAACATCAAATTCCCCTGATGAGGGACTGAATGATAAAAACCTCCACAAAGATTTGTCACATTCTAAAACTTGCTATTATTCTAAAACATTCTAATTCTTGCTATGAGGTAGGAAACAAAACCCCTGTAATTCAACTGATTAGGTAGTCATTATGTAAGCACACAAAAAAAAAAAGACACATTGTCAAAGCATGCACTTCTGCAAGTGCAGAAATTCTCCCTGTGAATATTCTGTCACACTTGACACATCATTAGATTGTTCCCCTCTCTGCACCTCTAAAGAGGAAGCCAAAACCAACGCTATAATTTTTTGCATTTCAGTTTTTAAATATCTTTGTTTAATTCTCCACAAAAGGCAGGAGAAAGACAAACCACAGGGGAAAAAAAATATTGGTAGCATTTTTACCTATTGTTTCTTTTCTTTGTGTCATATCTCCTCTCTAGCCTCTAGTTATCATTACAAAGAATCCAGAGAAAATGTATGTAACAAGCTATTACCTGTTTTCCACCCAATTAACAATAAATCTGCAAACAAGATGGATCAGTAGCAATTTAGCACATTACAAATGATGCAGACCTGGACTGAAAGCACGTGATTTCATGGTAATTAATGATACACAGGGATTATGTCAATGAGCTCCAAAGCTGAACCCACGTTAGCTCTTTCCTGCACCACATCATCACCAGCATAAGGAAGAAAATTGTGGGCTTCAGCTTTCCTTCATTTCTCTTGATGTCTATTTTATGTCACAGGGTGTCAATTAGTTGGACAGAGTGACTCCAGTGAGGAGAGAATCAGCCACTGCTTCCCAAAGCAGCCTCAGGAGCAAAGTGACAAGGATCACAGGCAACAGGCTACACCAAACCAGCATTC